ATTGCACACCATCGTGGCGGTGAAATCCGGTTGAGACGCTTCAACATCCGATTTCGGCGGTCTTCGTTAAACGGAACAACTTCGCTTGCTCATGCGGCACATGATGTGGCATTCCAATCATTCTCCAGATTTCCCGACTTCTAGTCCAGGCGATCAGTTGCCGACAGCATAAGCCTTACGTCTCAAAGGAAGTTTACCACTTGGAGAGAATGGCATGGTTTGATGACTCTGCTGTATATTTTTCTCCTGCATTGCCGCTGTCGCGTTTTGCCGATATCCAGCGGATGATGATGGCGTTCACGAGCGTCTCGTTTTGCGTGGATAAACGTTTGTGCCAGATCGTTCGGTGTGAAATCACGTCGTGGAGAAAACGTTTTGTTGTTGCATAAGCTTTTATTTGTGATAGCATGCAGCACGCACTCGGATGTTTGAAAGCAGTGCTGGCAAGTTCCCGTTCCAAGAGACCGGTGGCCTGCAGTATTGGCTGTTCAAACTAAGGGTGACAGTGCTGGTAAGAAACGAATCGACGGCGATGGTGGCGTTCCATTCCTTATTGTAAGAGTGCATCGCACAGACTCGGGGTATTGACTACGCGGGACCTGAAAGTGTGAAGACTGAACTGGAGCAAAGTAAGTGCTTTGTTAGCATAGCGGGAGGGCGAGGATTCAAATTATATATGCACGCTTATATCGCGGTAACCCATGCACATTGGCAGTGTGAAGTGCACAGGGAACTTGTTCCACAACTTCTGTTGTTTGGCTATTGCGCGGCTGCAACGTGGTCTCCAATCGCACGCAGCGATTTCTTCAAATGCTTGGAATTAGACAACAAGTGGTTGGCTTTCGGAATTACCAAGAAAGTCTTTGGCTCGGCTGCAGCAGCGAACAGCTCCTCGCCGTTCGCGTACGGCACATCTGTATCAGCATCGCCATGGATCACCAATAACGGTGGTAGTTCAGATCCCGCGACAGCTTTGAGGATATCCAGCGAGCCATCGAAGTACTCGTCAATGTAGCGTTTATCCAGCCGCACATAGATTTTCGAAGGAGCGTTGTCATCAGTCAACTCTGTCGTGGGGTGAGTGCCATCAAATGACAGTTCAACGTTCTTTGGCAGCGGACAGCCTTCCTCCAGATAGAATTCCTTCCAGCACCAGCCTTGTTCGTCACATTGTTCCAGTTGCAGTTTGTTAAAGTCGAAGTGAACACCTTTTGTCATGTCCAGCAAACCAGCAATAACTGTGATGGTATCCGACACGATTTTATCACGCAGTAAAGCGCCCAAAATGGCTCCAGTGGAGAGACCAACTGCATGGACTTTGCCTTTTCCTCCTAGGAAATGGGAGCGAATGTATTTGCATACGACGATCATGTCCTCGACTTCCAGGGAGATGAGTTTGTCTGTGAATCGCAGCTCATCGTCCGAGCCTGGGACGCCGCCGAAGTTAAAAGTTAGGAAGATTTTTTTCTTATCTTTCTGGTTTACCCAAAATCCGGCAAGTTTAGCCGGAACTCGAGAAGCGAAATCCACTTTGGTGGGATGCGGGCCCATGTCTGGGAACCCGTGGAGATACACCATCGCCTCATCGAAGACTTCAGGCGATTTATCCTTGTATTCCTCATGCGTGGCAATAATTGCCAGCAGCTTACGACTAGCCTTAGTTGAAGTCTCCGCTGCCGGCACTTCGATGCGTACGTGGCGTAGGTGCATTGTTTTCGTGGATCCGAATTTAGATG